GTGATCAGCATCTCCGGGGTCATCCTCAAAGGGTTCGGGATGAATCCCCCCATTATCTTGGAATCCATGAATTTCAGTGTGTTTGGAAGCCCTTCGTATTTTCAGATTTGACCATCTCTGGGGTTCTCTGTGCCTATTGTGGAAATTCAAAGATCTACTCTTGATCCGAAAGTGGCCTCTTTCAGGCTTCAGGAGCACTTCTGAAGTTCAAGTCCACGCGGCTCGGGGCCATCTCATTGTTTAGAGTCATGATTGCCCTGGTCTTAGGGAGAGCCACAGAGGGACTGGAGGCAGCTCTTTCCATTCTCCTCTGGTCACTTGAGGTCCATGCTTCCTACCTCTAGCTCTGTCCTGCTTTCCTTGAGGCCAGAGGTTGGGATTGCCCCCAGGATATGCTCCACTTTGTCTTTGATTCCAGCATGAGTCTGATGACCGCGTTGATCACAGCTCATTGGGTCAATGTTTTTAGAGAATATTATGTGGGGATTCCCAAGGGCTTCTCCAGGGGGAGGTGGAAAAGGAGACCAACATTTCTGAGTGCCTTCCATGTGCCAGGCACTGTATTGTGTGATGCGGAGAGGGTGAGGTGCATTCATACAAGGACATTCAGGCTCAAAGAGATAAGTAGTTTGCCAGGTGTCTCTCAGCTCCTAAAAGATGGCAGCCCAAGGCCCCAGTCTTCCCACCACAACGAGCTCTTTAGAAGCCTCATCTAGGAAAGACAGTGGCGCCGCTGGGCGTGGAAGCACTATCCTTACTGCAAAGCTAGCAGGGCCGGATCAAGTCCCAGCTCAGAGGATGTTCAATGAAGCTTGGGGGGAATTGAATGCAAGGAGCTTCAGCCCAGAGTGAGGTCCACAGACACCAAGAAAAGAGGCAGTAAAAAAACAACTCGATGGAGCCCGATTTAATGAACCAAGTCGCATCATCCTTCCCATTTGTGTTGCACATTTCAGTGTACATCACGTTTTCACTTCCTTTATCTCATCGGACCCTTGAGTTTGCCAGAGGGCTCAAGCATGGAGGAAGGGCCTTGGAGGGCTCTGGGGTGGGGGGGCAGGATGGGGGCAGGCACTCCTGTGGGTTGATGGGGATGTTGTTTACAGTAGGTGAGGATCTCTGAACAATCTAGAAGAGCAAAACAATCTACATCATGGGACCTACTAAGCAATTTCCACTTGGGGGCTTATTCCCCAGGGAGACAAGCCCATTGAAAAAGAAATATAATAATACCGGGGTGTGTCCAGCAGCTGTGGGAAGCCTGAGGTGCTTTCCTGATTGGTGCTGTCAGCTGGAAATAACTTCTGCCTCCTCCTACCTTATTCTGTGGTTGTTTGTGAACATCTTTTTCCCCTTAAGGGAATGTAAGCTCTTTGAGGCTGGGTTCATGCCTTTTGTCTCTTCACTCATTCACTCATTCTCTTTTTCCTGCATTAACTGATTCAGTAAGCAGTTGTTGTACCTTCCATGTGCCAGGTATTGTACCAGTTCATTATACCTACATGAACAAAGGACACAATCTTTTCTCTGCTGGAGTTTACAGTCTGCAGGAGAGACAACAGCGAACAAATAAATACAGAATGATAAAATTTATACAGAAATTTCACATTGTGAAAACTACCATGAAAGAAATAGCTAAGATATAGAGGTGAGAGCGTAAGGGAGTGGGGCGACCTGGCAGCTGGCACCATCCCAGGCCTAGCAACTCACCAAGCGTCTGCTAAGTGGGTTGAATGGATGCAAGGGCAGTGCCAAGGAAAGAACTCAAATATTCCCCGCCCCTGGCCAGAAATGGCAAGGCAGCCCATTACTTGTCTTGATGTTCTCCTCGTAGCAGAATGAATTTAACATAACAAGTACAGAAAAAATGATAATACAGGATCTTGCCATGCACAGCAATACATACCTGAAGAAATTTAAATGCAAAAAGGAGACAGGGCGGCATGCGTACGCTGAGGGTGAGCACTCACAGATGTTCACACAGACCCACAACCTGCAGAACCTGAGCCCCAAACAGGACCTCACGAGGCATCTGGCCCGCCCACTCCTGCCATGTGAGAAAGTGGTCTTAGGGCCGAGAGAACGATGTCTTTTTTTTTTTTTTAATTAATTTGATCTGTGCATTAGGATCTGTCTAAATGTGTTTAAACAAACTACACTCTGAATTCAGGGTTTCAGTTTTGTTAAGTTTTGTTTTCTGTGGAGTCACCTAAGTTTCCTAGTAAAGGCTTTGGGGTGGGAGATGGCTGCTGAGGTGTCGCCAAGTGGCAGGTTTGTTGGTTTTGGGTTTTGTTTGTTCCTGAGTCAATAGCAGTTCCCGAGGACACCAACTAGGTCCAGCCTGGAGAGCAGATACAAATCCAGAAATCTCACAGGTGTGGGCTCTGAATCCAGCTGCTGAGGTTGCCTGCAGAGAGCAGAGCATGCGCGGACCAGAGTCCCTGGTCCCCCGGCTGGATGGCCTTTGAGGCCCTTTGCAGAAGATCCGGCCAGGCTGCACACCTGCTGGGGGTCCAGTGACACCCAAACAGCAGCAGCTTTCCGAGTTTTGTTTTGTTTTTCTCTAATCTCCAATTCTGCTGGAAAAACACCCAAACCCTTGGGTCAGAGCACCCCCGGCCTAGCAACACCTGCAGCCAGGGGGCCGGAAGTCAAGCTAGAACGGAGGAGGAACCAGCCTGTGCTTACCCCAGGCCCCGGGGGACAGGGCTGGATTCCCCCAGTGGGCAGCAGGGCATGTGCCCACCGAGGGCCCTCGGGGCTGCATTCTAAAGGAAGAGGGGCCCAGAGCCGGACTCCTGGAAGGATGGCCCAGTGACTCAATATCCTGGCTTATCAGGAAGGAGTGGGGCCTTCAGGGCTTTGCGACTTGTGAACAAGGGAGATGGCAGAGCTGTCCCAGGATTCTCTCCCTATGGCTCTCCTCCTGCTCTGGCTCAGGGTCCTTCGAGGGAGGCAGCTGTGATGTAGTAGAAAGAATGCTGAGTTTGGAGTCAGAAGATCTGTGTGTGTCTTTTGGCCAATTATGGTAATCATCTCCCTGGGCCTCGATTTCCACATTTTTAAAGTTGGGATGCAGATGTCCCCCTTCCAGGGTCACGGTGAGACAAACTCACGTAAATGAATATGGAGGTGTTCAAGAAAATCTTACTGGCAGTTAAGAGATTCTCAATATATAAATATTTGGGGGACCCAGCAAAAGAGTCTGATTCACGTTCTGTAACTTGGTTGTGGTGGTGGTGGTGGTTATACAAAGCTGTAAATCTAAAATTCATGAAAGGAAAACGAAGTCAATTTTACTGTAGGGTAATTTTCTAAAAACCAGCATCTGGTTCAGCTCCTTTGGATAAGATTTATGATTCCCGTTTTGTAGATAAAGCAACCGAGATCTGAGATGTTCATCGCCCCCCACCAGCATCACCCAGCTTTGTTTCCGCTGCCTGTCAGTTCTGGGGGCCAGGGACCCATAAGTTGGACATGGGGACACCCGTAGTGTAAGCCTCTAAGACAGAAGAACGGACCAGGGAGTGCTTCTACATCATAACCATGAAGGCAGTGCCCTTGCGGGGTGGGTGTCTGGTGGTCGAGGCAGGCCTCCCTGCTCAGATGATTCTCTGCCAACAGTACTTCAAAGCATTAGAGAAACTCAGTTATTCAAAGATATTAAGTTGTCTTTCAAAAAAGCCAAGGCCTCCCCAGATTCAGGGCAGCCCCAAGCAGGGGGAAGACCCTGCTGTGCGGGGGGAGAAGTGAAGGCTCCGTCCCACCCCCAGCCGGCTGCCCAGGGTCCCTGGTGGAGGTCGAGGCCAGAATTAGCGCCACTATGCAAAGCAGCAGGAGAGGAAGGGCTGCAGCTCAGTGGAGACAGATGCCAAAACAAGCCAGTTTCCTCTGGCAGCCCGGACACCAGGGAGGGAGGAGGCCCTCCCCGGCTTGGCCCTGCCTGGCTCTGAGTGGACACCACTGAGCGACGCAGAGATGGACCTGAAACCCCAGGCTTGGGGGCCTTGGCCACCTGCCCCACCTGGAATGCCAGGGGGAGCTGCTCTCACTGGTCCCCCCATGCTGGCCTTGGTTCTCCAGTTAAACTGGCAGCTCCCTGAGGGCAGGGATTTCTCCCATCTGAATCCAGAGCATGCATGGCAAAGAGGTGTTCTGGGCTCCCCCCCAGGTCAACAGGAAGTGGAGCTCAGCCTGGCTCTGCACACAGAGGTTAATTTCACTTCAGCTCCCAGCCCTGAGCTGCTCTCTGTCGCTCCCGCAGCTGGCAGGTTGGGGACCATTTTGCCTCTGATTTTGTGCTGGGAAAGCCTGAAGGGGTTACCTAAGGATGCCCAGATTTCACCACCACAGAGCTTCCCACTTTAGGAATCTCTCTTGCATAGCTCTGGGTCAAATTTAAAAAAGTATCCAGGCTTCGTAGGGGACAAGGGGGTGTGTGATGGAGTCAGGGGAAACCCTGCCCTCAGGGAGCTTCTAATTTAACGAGAACAAGGCCGGTATGGGCAGCACAAGGTAGTAGCTACGCCAGAGCTGGAGAGGCCAGGGTCCAAACAGGGATTAGGCAGGGACTGGGCACTCTGGGAGGGCTTCCTGTAGGTGGAGGGCCTTAAAGGACAAGAGGATTGGGGTGGGTGGGGGAGGGCAAACTCTTCTAGGGCTAAGACCTCTGCCCTACAGAGCAGGACTCAAGTGCTGCTTGTCGGCTGAAGGGAATGCAGGGTGAGGGTATCCCCGCCGAGAAGAAGGGCCAGTCCATTCAGCCCTTCTCCACTGCTCGGGGCCCCACTAGGGTCAGAGAGCAGGGGAAGAACGGGAGACAAGGCCACAGGTCCCAACTGGGCCGTCAGAGAGAAGCAGTGTGTGAGAACCAGAGAGGGCTCTGAGCCCCATGGCAGCCGTCCCTCCTCACACCCCATGGGTCCATGGGTGCCCAAAGATTTGCGCCCAAACAGGTACTCTCATCCACCCCATAACCATAGATGTCACAAGCCTGTGTGTCATTTCTCAAGACACATTGTTTATTCCGTGGGAGAAAGGGCTCAAGGCCAGCAGCCCCCTGGCGTGGGGGAGGGCAGGAGAGAGCAGGAGAGGATGGGAGAGGGATGAAGCTCTCGGTGGCCCAGCTGCAGCCACGTGCGGGTGGGCCAGGGCCCTTCCCGGGCTCTACAGGAAGCCGGGCTGTTCTGAGTCCATTTGCAGGTTCCAGACAAGTCTCTGCCTTCCCCGTCCTGAATAGGGGATGGATCCCCGCATAGCACCCCCAGAAGGCTGGGTCCAGCCTAGCCCCAGAGAACTCCCTGCTCCAAATCACTGCCCTGTGGCCCTTCCGCTCCAGTCCCTTTGGCAAGAGATGGGGACCAAGGGCTGGAGGGGCAGGCGGACCTGGTGGGCCAGCTTTGGAGGCGGACAGGGGGTTCAGGGTAAAGGGGATGGGCTGGGAGCCGGGCGGCTCTGAAGCAGTCAGTGAGGGCCCAGCGGGCTATGCCCAGGGGCTTGGGGAGGGCCGGCCTCTCACTCCTGGCCTGGGTGTTCACCCACCGACCACTTCACCTCTCCTGTCCGCAGCGTCACTATATCCTCGTAAGTGGCTGTCTGGTCAATGTCCAGGCCCTGGGGACACGGAGCGGAGCTCAGGCCTTGGCCACTCCCTGAGCGCACACAGATGGGGCCTCTGAGCGCCCCCCCTGCCCCCCACGGCCCCGGGAGCTGCGGGGTCCACCCCACTCCTTACCTCATAGGTGTGATCTTCCTCCATCCCGACCTTGCTGTCATCCTGGCGGGTGAGGGACGGAGAGCAGACTGTTAGCTTCCCCCACCCCATCCACTGCTGGGCCAGGCTGGGGAGGGCCAGGGAGATTGGCCCGGGGCGAGGGGTCAGGGGTCAGGGGTCAGGGGTGAGGCGCACTCTGCGAGAGCAGCTGTTGCATAAAGGAGTGATTGAATCGGTAAATCGATGGGCAGGCTCTGGGGCTGGGGAGATGGAGACCCTGCCCGTGCCCGGCCCGCCCCGTGGCTGCTTCCCCGGCCCCCAGGGTCACCTTGTCCAGCAGCAGGAAGATGGGCACGATGATGAACAGGATTATGAGCAGGGTCTGGATCAGGATGATGCCATCTTTCAGCGTGTTCCGCCGCTTCAGCTGCGCCAAGGTGCTGAACCCTGGGGGGAGGTGGGGCGGGGGCGGTGAGGCTGGGGCCCCCCCTTCGGGCCTGCGCCCCTCAGGACCTGCTTCTCAGTGGCTCTCCCAGGTGCTCGAGGGCCACAGTCACCGCCACGCTGTGGCCCCCCTACTGGTCCGGGCTGGGGTGGGGTGGGTGTGGACCGCTCCACGAGCACACCCGCTCTCCTCCCTGGCTGGGGGGCGGGCCCCGCACGCACCCATGACCCGAAGCTCGGTGCCACAGCCGCGCTCTGTCCTCGGGGGACTCTGCGAGCACTCCTGCTTGCAGAAGTAGATGCCGTTGTCCGGAAACTGGACGTCTTGGATGATGAGTGTGGCCTCGGTGCTGTTGTGGGTCTGGAGGATGCGGCCCTTTTCGGGGAGAAATAGCTTGGCCTCCGAGTCCGTCTCCTGCTTCCGGAGCCAGCTCACGTTGCCGGAGTCCTCCAGGTGGCACTTGATTTCCACCATGGAGCCCCGTTTCTTGGCCACGAAACGTGGGTGCTGCCAGATCCGGGAACACGAGCTTCCTGTGGGCGCCAAGGCTGGGCTTAAAATCCCGCTCCTTCTTCTTGACCGTCGGCCCGAACTCAGGCCCTCAGCCGTGGGCCCCCGTCCTGGGCAGCACTGACCCCCGGCTCAGCCCCCTTGTCTGTCCTTGCTTCTTGGGATGTGGGTCAGACATGAGGCAGAGGTGTGGGAGAGCCAGAGCCACGTGAGAAGCCACAGGCCAAGCCGCCGGACCCCGCCCCTTCCTGATGGCCCACACTTCCCGCCTGATTTTCCTTAAGAAGGGCCTGGAACCTTCTGATTCCTTTCCACGTCCATTACAGTAGCCCGATGCCGGCCTCACCCCATGAGGCCAGAAGGCCCATAGCACAGCCTCCGGCCTGGCCTGGTGCTCTCACCTCTCCCTGCCCTGGGCTACCCACACCAGCCCAAAATCCTCAGGGGCACCCCGCAAATCCTTAGCCTGGCAGTCAAGGCCTCCCACATCAATCCCCTGGCTGTCTCTCCTCCATCTCCTCCCTCCCCCCTTCCGTGTGGACCTGCTCCTCTTTTTATTCCTAAGCCTTCTTTCTTCAGTTTGCCATGATGTCCCCGCCCACCTGCTCCAAGAAGCCTCCCTCCTGCCTGGTTCCCAGTCAGTGGTCCCCTAGGAACCCCTGCGACCTGTCGGGGTCCCTGAGGTTACGGTCTCCTGCCGGGGCTAAGCCCAACTCCCCAGCCAGGGAGAACGGGCCTGAGTCCTCAGTGGGGTTCCCACTGGCCCCCACTCCAGCCCTGGGCTTGGCACTGCCCCAGATCGCTGGGACTGGAGCACTGATGTTTAATGAGGATGACAGTGGAGGAGGGGGGACTGGAGGTACTTCAGAGCCAGGTCTTACAGAGGGAGGCCGACCCTAAGGAGACCTGGGGATGGGAGTCCTGGGTGGGGAGACCCAGGGGGCACAAGGGCACAAGGACAACCATGAGACAGCACACAGGACAGTGACCGGCTTTGGACACAGACATACTTGTCCCCAGAATGGGCGGGGGAAGTTGCTGACCTTTGGGATCCCGGTAGAGCGCCTCTGTTTTGGCCTCCAGCACCGTCTCACCTGCTGGGTGGGAGGAAGTGGGCGGGCCGGTCACTGGGACTTGGTTGTCCCACCCCTGCGTTCCCAGACCCACTTCCTCCCCGCCCAGGACATCAGCATCAAGACCCCTCAACTCTCCCCCAGCCCTGCTCTCGAGAGACTAGAGCGGGGTGGGGTCACCAGAAGATCCGACTCCCAGCCCCCCTTCTGCCCTTGACCTTGAGCTGTGCCTGGATGAGACGGGAGGGAAGTTACAGCTGGAGGGCTCCACCGCCTTCCAGACCAGGGCACCACTTCTGGAACATGCTTGTCCCAGGTCTGCTTGGGGGCAGCTCTCCACTGCCCGCCCCCCACGCAGTGCCCTCCAAGGCCTGGGGGTGAACCACACTCTTCTTTCTCTCTCCTGGGCCTAGGTCTTCTGCGGTCAGAGCCTCAGGCCCAGCTCAGCCTGACACCCTCCGGGCGGGAGAGGGGCTGGGGCCGCGGAGCCCTGAGCCATCAGCATGGCTGATACCCACAGACCTGGTCCCCAGGGCTGTCAGAGGGAGACAGGAGGCAGAAAAGTGTGAGAGACAGAAGGAGGAGGACGAGAGAGCAGGAGACAGAACCAGTGGAAACAGCGGAACCAGCAGGCCTCTCGGCTCGGGCCGTACCTGAAAGGAGCAGCAGCAGAGGCACCAACCAGCTGCTGAGCCCGGGACACAGCGCCGGCCCCGCCATGCTCACCCCTCCGTCTCCTGCCCCAAGCCCGTGACAGCGGAGGCTCCTGGGGGGAAAACGTGTAACTGCCCAGGCTGCAGCCTGTCTCCTCCCCGCCTCTTCCCCACCAGGCCCCTTCCTGCCATGCAAATTGGGACCCAGGGGAGGCACCAGTTCTCCGGGGACCCTGGGGGAGGGCAGGCTCTTTTGTCAGCTGTGCTGCTAAGGCTCAAGGGTCACCCCAGCTCGGACACTACAGCGGTGGACGCCCCGGGTGGCGGCGGCCTCTGTGTCCCCACCCCATCCCCGTGCCCTGGGGCCCCCTAGCCTCCCACCTCACACTTAGCTGAATACACATGGGTCCTATGGATGAATGCGAGCGTGGCCTCTCCACCCTGGACCAGCCTACACCCTGTGGGAAGAGGGGCACCCAGGAAGGATGAGGCAGGGGTGCTGGCGGGCAGCTATGGGCCCAGAGCACAGCCTCTTGGCTGGAGTGCAGGTGGCCATGTTGGGGGTTGATGGAGATTTGACCCTGGGGAGGAAAGGAACCACAGTGGTTCTTGAGCAAAAACAGGCCAAGAGTAACAGCCGCTTGGGAGATTTGGTCCAGGACCTGGCGAGAGGGCCCCTCCCTCACTTGGTGGGAGAGTTTTCTGGGAGCTGCCAGAGAAGGTGGACTTAGATGTTGACAGCTTAGAGAAAACCCACCACTCAGCAGTCAGGGGACTCTCAGGGCACTGAAGTGTTATCCACAGCTCCAGGGGTCTCGGGCAGAGGACAGGAGGCTAGTATGGGGGAGTCTTCAGGTTCTGAAACAAAAAGGATCTCTGGTTTTGTCTCGCCAGTCAGCAGAGTGGTGGATGGAACCATAAGCCTAGGAGCTTGTCTAAGTTCAACTTTGTGCCCCTGCCCCTGGATCAGACACAACCCTCATCCCTTGGGGGCTCGGGGTGGGGGAGGTGCCCTTGTGCAGTGCACAACCTGCACAGCTGCACATGGCAGGCTTGCATCCCTCAGCCCCACAGCTGAGCCCACTCTTGAATTTTATGTTTTATGGAAGCTTCTTTACTCTCTCTTGGCCCCTCACTCTCTGTCTTCTTCCAACTGCCAGGAGGGGAAGGAAGATGCAAATCCTGTGTCCTCTGCCTACATATTCTCCTTACCACCTGCCAGTTTTCAAGCGGCCTGTGCTGCTGGCAGGTCTGTTTGGGTTCAGGGAGACATGGACCCACCTCCTAGGCCAGGGTTGGTGGTGAGGAAGACAGAGGTCTGAGTGCTGCCCCCTCAGTCCTGAGCATAAGCCTCACCTGGGATGGTGGGGTCCACCCCCCCACCCCCACCCCCGAGGAGTACGGGCCAGGACTGGAGCTGTGGAAAGCGGGGACAGGAGGGTTAATTTTCCCTCCAAGGAACAGCTCGTTCCTGGCAGTCCCAGATGTTCTTGTTGTTTCCAGATGTTCCAAATGAAAAAAAACAAAACAAAACACATTTCTCTGAAAAGGTGTCAGATGTTCAGTTCACAGAACAAACAGCCCAGGAATATAAACATCACCTGAGGTCAGCTTGGGGACCATGGGCCCCTGGTGGGGGAGGTTCGAGACTCCCCCAGAGGAATGGGGGAAAATCCAGGGGTCTCTTCCTTTAGCAAAGTACCCCCTGGTGATGGAAGCCTTGGTTAGCTTTGGGGCTAGCGTCCCCCAAAGTTGGGAGGAAGATGGAGAAGGCTTGGGATACACACGTGTGTGTGTGTGCATGTAGCTGCTGACACGGGTGTGCTCCCGGGCTGTGTGGTGTGGGACTGCTCAGGAGCTGGTCCTGCGGCCCAGGGTGACTCTAGGGGGCATGGAGGTTGGGGGCGCAGTAGGTGTCCTCCAAGCACACACCCATCTGCCTCTCCCGTGGGCAGGGATGCAGATGTGTCCTTTGGACTTCATTCCCATTCATGCCAGGAGTGGGTGGGGGCAATGGGGGCCCCACCGCCTGCAGGGTTATTTGTCACAGTTGGGGCCATGCTGTTCCCTCCCCAGTGACAACAGTACTGAGCTCTGTTCGGGGCTTGTGACGCCTTTTCTTTCCTGGAACAGGAGGCCTCGTAAGTCCACTCCTGCCTCTGCCCCCGGCTGCCCTGGGCTGTGCACCCCGACATCAGGCAGCCCTCACCCCACCTTTCCAGGAAGGCAGCATCAAAATAAGAGATGGGGGTGTAGGGAGAAGGGACATGGAGCTTGGGGGTTTGGGGAACAAGAGGACGGGGACCCCCAGTAACCCTGGGAGGGTGGTGGGAGAGGACAGAACCTCAGTTTGGAAAGAAGGGCTCTGACCTCTGCCGCTCCCCCCAGCCCTCGCCTACCGACTCTACTTGGCTTGTTGTTACCAGGGGAGACCTGCAGGCTCAGAAGGATTCGGATGTGAATCCTGACCCTGCAGGAGACCGGGAAGCCGCCTCAAGTCACCTGGGGCTTCTCAATGAAGGGTGGTCCTGCCCCACAAATGCTCCAGGGCCATTGCCAAGGTCAAATGACCAATGGACACCTCTGGCATTCATGGGCCAGGGGGCAGTGAAGACCCTGCCGTGGGAGGGGCAGCCTCCCACACAGCAGAATTTCCTTGTCTCACATGTCAACTGCACCCCTGTTAAGCAACACCCGTGCTTAACCTTTCAGAGACCAAGTTTCCTCATTTAGGTAAAACAGAAATAATTGTAATAATATCTTCTTCGTAGGGCGGTCGTGAGCCTTGAAGGGACTCAGATTCACCCTCAGGCAGGTGGTGCGTAGGACTGATAACTGGGGGAGGGTCTTGATTCCGAAATAGGAACTTTGGTTATCTATGTTTCTCACCCAGGATTTTGTCTTTTTTCTTTTACCATTCAAGGCTCAGGGGAAGGGTGGGTCAGGGCACCCTCAAGCTCTCCTGTCCTTGGGGCCAGAGAGGGACCTGGGCGAGGTTTGGAGAACTTTCATGTGAGAAGGAGCCCCTCTCCCACCTCTGGGAGGGAGGTCAGCACCCTGGTGGGGGGCTCAGGGAGCCCTGCGGGGATGTCAGACCCCTCCCCTGCAGGCAAAGACAACCACACTGTGGGAAGGGGCTCAAGGACATGGCTGAGGGATGTCGGGGTGGCCTGGGGGTTCCCCTCCCCAGCCCCCAAGGGTGCCATGTAACCTCAGGACCCAGGAAAAGGGGATACAGAAATCCTGAAAGGGACTAATACTCACTAGTTTGGAGGAATACAGTCTTGGCTATCAGAAAACAAAATTAAATCTGAAATTACATTTCACCCACTGGGATTGTGGCCTGAGCTCACTACATAACATTACTCTTTGTCGTAGGTCCATGGGACCCTGGGTTTTCTGGGGTCAGGGGTCAGAGGCAGCATCCTGGGGGAATTGTACCTCTGGGGAGAGGGAGGGGCCACACCGTGTACCCATAGGCACCTTAGGGCCTCTGAGGGGCAGAGAAGTTATGGGGGCTTCTGGAGAGGAGGGGCTGGGGACACGGGTCCCAACACCCGTTTCCTGGATGCTGTCGTGGGCAGGGAGACGCAGTGTGGTGCTGTCTGTTAGGGGAGTGAAGGGAGCAGGGCACGACTCGACCTCATCTGGCCTCTGGGATTCCAGCTGTGAGGCTGGAGTCCCAGTCTCCTTCTGGAGGGGGCAGGAGACGGCCAGACGGAGCCAGAGGAGGGAGCTGGGGCTTCCCCAATCCCTGGCAGCTCCCCAAGTCTTCCCCACTTGGCTCAATCCCCACCAGCCCTTCTTGCTGCCCTCAGCTCCCGTCGATGTCCGCACGCAGAAGCACAGAAGGAGAGAGCCCACATGTCAGAGGCACCGGGGAGGTTTATTATAAGAACTGTACAAAGGGGCCTGTCTACTGGCCTGGCTTGGGCCTGTTCCCACCCGGACAAGGTGCAATGGGTGTGGGTCTGCAGGGGAGGAGGCTGCAGGCAGGGGGAGGCCTGGACCCCGCTCAGCCACGCTGGCTCTGCAATCTGCACACGGTCCCGTGGAGAGTTCAGTCCAGCAGGGGCCGAGGCTCTTGGGGCCTCACTAGTCAGAGCCCCAACGAGGAGGGAAAGGCAGTGGGCGGAGTGCTGGTCAGAGAGGAGGCTGACCCCTACAGGATGAACTTCTGAAGAAAGAGCCAGAACTGCTGCAGGAAGAGATGGAAGGAGCAGGGGCCTCATTCCAGAGAGGACCCAGGCGGGGCCGGGAAGCGGGGCTGGGCGGTGGGTGTGAGGAAGAGAAGTGGAAGAGGGCAGAAGAGTGGACTCACGGGGCTGAGAGGGATGCCCAGGCAGGGTGGTGAGGGGGCCGGCGAGCGCGGCAGACGGAAGGGAAGGCTCCGGCCTCCGGGCGAGCACAGACGTAAACACACACGCACACACGGACACACGCACACGCGTGCATGCACACACATGCACACACGCACACTCACACACGCACACTCACACAGAGGTTGTTTTGGAGGTTTTGCTGCTTCCTGAGTTTTAATCAAACTGTTCGCGAGAAACAAGAAAAAGAAGAGGAACTAAGGGCAACGGGGGACTCGATGTGCAAACCTTACCACCTGTGTTCACACACACATACACACAGCACAGGGACACTCACACAGACAGGCCTACAGAGAAGACACACACACACACACACACACACCAGCCAGACACTGCGGGGCACACTGACACACATGTACACAAATATACCCATACACACATGCGTATGCAGGCTCTGAGGGACACGGTGGTTCACACACACACACACACACACACACAAACAGAGCTATACACAGAGGTATAACGCTGGCACACAGGCACACACACACCGATGAGCAAATCCAGTGACCCCTAAGCCTGCGTCTCACCCCCTCCTCCGAGCTCAGCCTCTGTCTGTTCTTGGCAGCCGGCGGAGGACCGGCACCGCCATGCCCAGGCCAGCAGTGCCAGCAGAAGTGCCGCCTGGCTTTCCGGACGGCAGGAAGTTGCAAGGTTGGGTCTGAGCCAGGTGAGCAGTGCCTGCCCCAGTGTGGAAATCTCGAACGTGGGCTCAGCTAGAACATTCTTAGGATCACTTTGAGGCGGGGAAAAGGATGAGGTGTGGTGGAGGATGGGGAGGAAACCTCTGGGGTTGGGGCGGCTGCCAGGAGCCCCAGTGGTGCTGATGCAGGAGGGAGGGAAGGGGGGAGGGAAGGGAACCTTCTTCCTGAGCACCAGGGTCCCCGACACCACCCGAGATCTGGGTGCTCCGGCCAAGAAAGCCCCCAGTGCAGCGATATGCTGGTGGGATCCAACCTGTGCTACCCATCCGTGCTTTCCAGAAAAAGACGATTCCCAAATGGAATCCTCCCTTCTGCTCTTCCCCCAGGGGCCAGCCAGGGAGCCAGGGGCCTGGGCAATGGACAAATCTGGAAAAGGTGTCAGGGGTCACACCGGCCCAATGAGTCAGGATCCAGTGGCCCATCAGGTTTGTGGAGCCATTTCTGGACCAGTGATGCTTTCCTTTTCCAGAGAATTCCTAAGCTGGCAGGGTGATGCTGCACCCAGAGTCAGGGGAGGGCTGGCGGGCCCTGGGGTCAGGTGTCTGCTCTCACTGAAGTTAAGACTTCCTTGTCCTGGAGGGAGCTGGGGGGGCCTGAGCCACTTCCTGGGGAGAGGTCAGTGGCCCTTAAGACTCTGGTGGCAGGAGGGCGGCCAATCCTTCCATCACAGGCCGGCTCCTCCCCAAGAGGGGAGCAGAGATTCTGATGTTCCAACCTCCCCCGGGGCCATGAGGAGGGCAGCAGGGCCCCCGAGGAGGTGAGAGCAACTTGAAGGTGAAATCACGGAGGCAGCAGCCTCGGGCTCAGAGTGGAGACTTCAGGTACAATTCCCGTTTGCCATGGCCTGGGTGACAGCCCACCACGGCCAAATCCTGTCCCCGACAGGGAGCTGGATCAGTCCCAGACGCAAAGCTCTAGCTCCCTCAGGGGCAGGCGCCACGGGGGAGCTTTGGGGCTGTGCCACCTCACCGCCACCTGCTAGACAAGAGACTCTTTGACCCCTGGGCACACCATCTGCCCCGGGGGTGGGGCGGGAGGGAGGGCTGTGTCTGTGGGTCTGATGGACAGGAGCCCCAGGGCAGGTCTGGGGTCCCATGTCGAGCCCCTCCACTCCCCCTTGCTCTGCAAACCGCTGTTCCCGTTCTCAGGGCCATACATCTTGCTCATGGTGTCAGCAATCAGCCCCTCCTTCTCGGGTGCTGCGTCCCCGCTGCTGTCCTGACTGTGGCGGTACATGTAGGAAGCCTGCTTCACGGAGCGCTGCAGCAGGTGCCGGCGGTAGGCCCTCTGGATCTTGACGGCGCACACTTCCTCGTGCTTCCTCTTGAGGGTGGTTGTGATGGGCTCGTAGGAGACCTTGGATGGGTTGGCAGCCATGAACTTCTCCTCCATGGTCTCCTTGAGGGCATCCATCTCCCCAGAGTCTCCCAGGACCTCTTTGGTCAGGGCAAAGAGGATGTCCAGGCAGTGGATCTTGTCCCCTGGCACCATGGGCAGGTCCAGTGTGATGAGCTTGATCTTGTTGGGCTTGGCGAGCCTCAGCGGCTCCTGCAGGGTGTCCACGAAGTCAGAGAGGCGGCTGTAGTCGATGAACTGCGTGGCGTCGGGGTCAAACTTCTCCCACGTCTCGTAGAACATCTCGAAGTCATCCTCCCCGAGAGGCTCGCTGCTCTCCTCCGTGGCCACGTTGAAGTTCTCCAGGATGATGGCGATGTACATGTTGACCACGATGAGGAAGGAGATGATGATGTAGCTGCAGAAGAAGCAGATGCCGATGGAGGGGTTGCCGCAGTCGCCCCTGATGCTGGTGCCCGGGTTCTCCAGCGTGGGGTCGCAGTCGGGGGGCCCGCTGTTGAGGATGGGGCTGAGAAGCCCGTCCCAGCCGGCTGACGTGCTGATCTCGAAGAGGCAAATGATACTGTTGCCGAAGGTCTCGAAGTTAAACATGTCGTCGATGCCCGACTCCTTCTTGACGTAAGCGAAGTTGGACATGCCGAAGATGGAGTAGATGAACATGACCAGGAAGAGGAGGAGGCCGATGTTGAAGAGGGCGGGCAGTGACATCATGAGAGCAAAGAGCAGCGTCCTGATGCCCTTGGCCCCTCGGATCAGCCGTAGGACGCGCCCGATCCGCGCCAGGCGGATGACACGGAACAGCGTGGGTGACACGAAGTATTTCTGGATCAGGTCAGAGAGTGCGAGGCCTGCAGGGAGGAAGCGGTGAGGACTGCTTTCCCCCTCAGGGTGGGCGGCTGGGTCGGGGAGCAGGGGGCATGCGCGGCTCAGGGGGGCCCAGCCCGCTGGGCTCTTCCCCAGAAAGGAGCAGTAGAAGCTCACCGCTCAGAGCGCAGCCCGAATGGCCTGACCCATTAGGCTCTCCCAGGGGTCTTGGGGCCTGGGCTCCATCTTTGCCCTGACACAGCTGCATGGAGGTGGGACGTGTCAAAGCGAATGGTGGTAGGCCTATCACTAAGGCTGTTTGCAGATGCCATGGATGAGAGGGCGGGGGAGGACAGCTCTGGGTGTGTGACTTCAGGCATGTCACCTAATTGGTTTGTGACTCAGTTTCCTCGTCTGTAAAATGGAGGTGACAACAGTACCAGCCTCAGGCCATTTGCTGGGAACAATAGGTGAGCTAATGCCTGTGACGTGCGTAGCACAGTGTCAGGCAAATAGTATATGATTGATAAACGCTAGCTAGTTACTATCACAATGACACACAGCTCTCCTGTGTGAAGGACACTGGAACCCTCTTATGTTTTTCTCGAAGCACACGGGCACCACTGGACAAGTAAATGTTTCTCAGGTGTGGTCATGCATGTGAAGGCGACAGGTTGCCTGGGAGCCCACTGTACGTGCTTTTGCGCATTAAGCGTAGACACCAGGTGCACACGCGTGTGTGTATGTGTGAGTGTGAGCACGGCAGGTGCGTGAGCAGGTCTGTGTGTGGACACGAGGATGGGAGCGCCCGGCCTCCCTGAATGACTCAGACCAGCCCGGCCCTGCTCACCCACAATGGACAGGATGACGACCACAAAGTCGAAGATGTTCCAGCCGACGGTGAAGTAGTACTGGCGCAGGGCCAACAACTTGAGCGCGCACTCGCCAGTGAAGATGATGACGAAGACCGTGTTGGCACTGTAGAGGACGTCCACCTTGAGCTGGCTCTGGTCATCCGTCTCCACCATCATGGTGACCATGTTGAGGCAGATGAGGGTCATAATCGTGATGTCGAACGCCTGCTGCGTCACCAAGTCGTACACCGTGCCCTGGATCTTGTTCTGCAGCAGGGATGCGAGCGCGGGGATGCACGCCGAGGGGTGTGGGGGGCAGTGGTCAGGGCAGGACGTGGACCGGCAGAAGATGCAGGAGGACATGACAGCATGACAGGGAGAGAGACAGACAGAGAGGAGGTGTCAGGTCTTGTGGCAGAGTCGGCCAGGGCGGGGGCGGCGAGACCCTCCCATCAGAACAGGCCAATCTGTGGGGTCCGCGGGCATCTTTCCTCACTCTGGGACCTTTCCTCCCGTCAAGGTCCCCCAGCAGCCCCTCATCCTTCTCCTGAAGTCATTGCTCACTGGGGGGCTTTCTGGACATCCTCTTCCTCCCCGTTCCAGGGGCCCTTGCCCCAGAGGCCACCAGCTGAAGAGCTGACTGGACACTGGGGAGCTGAGCAGGCCCAGGCAAAGGGTAAACCAATGACCGGAGTTCATCAGGCAGCTGCTGGCGCCCCTCCCGGCAGGTGGACCCAGCCTCATGCCAGGGACATAGCCTGGTGGGCAGAGCGCAGGCTGCATTTTGCCCCCTGCCCGCCGTGGCCCCCTTAGGCAGGAGCCTCATACAGGCTGCAGGGGGAGGGGCCCGGAAGGCTGGTACCTGGGGCCGGGGAATTGGCTTCTGAGGCTTCTTGGAGCCAAGCTTCTTCATGGCGTTATAGTATTTCTTCTGTTCCTCCGTCATGAAGAGGTCTTTCCCTCCAAAGTATAGTGGGATGGGGCCCGTGAGGTTGCGGTGGGGGGTGTCCTCCTTCTCACTTTCCAGGACCTCCCCCTTCTCACCTTCTCAGGCACCACCCTTAAAGCCACCCGCACCCCAGCAGGGGAGCCGGTGGGACCTGCCTGGAGCAGCCAGAGATGGGGGTCGAGGGAGGCAGGGGAAGGGGGACTCAGGGGCCCAGAGAAGGGAGGGGAGGGGACTGGGCGACCGACAGAGGCAAGGGGTCAGCGCAGCCTCACTGCCCGCTTTGTGCCACCTTCCATCAATGTCTCATTGGGTCCTCAGAATGAGCCGGCATGGCAGGCGGCACGAACCTCATTCTGTACATAAGGAAACCAAGGTTCGAGGTGGCCACATCTCACTTGTCCAAGGTCGTCTGGTGGGATGTGAACCCAGCCTTGCTGAATCATGCCGCCAGCCAGCAAGAGCACAGCAGGTGCAGAGGCAGCATTTGTGAACATATGAAGGAAGGAGTGGACGGAGGGAGGGAGGAGGGAGCCCGGGGAGGGGAGGCCCCGGGGAAGGTCGGGCTGGATACTTATCTTCTTCTTCTGCTGGTTGAAGTTGTCGATGATGACGCCAATGAAGAGGTTGAGGGTGAAGAAGGAGCCGAAGATGATGAAGATGACGAAATAGAGGTACATGTAGATGTTCACCTCGTACTGGGGCTGTTCCTCCTTCTGCAGGGGCCACAGGATGGAATGGGCTGGGCTGGGTGGGCTGGGGGCACATGCTGCCTGCTCCCTGTTCCCCATCTCACTGTGGGCCCATCCACCCCCAGGCTGTGGGGTCTCGGGGGCTCCTGAGGAGGCAGCATGGGGTGGGGATGGATCTGAGTCCTCTCCCCTGGCTCACTCACCAGCTACGTCTCGAGGACCCCCACTCACCTCCCGGGAGTCCACAGCTGCATACATGATGTCCATCCAGCCCTTGAAGGTGGCCTGAGAGAGTGTGGTTGGGTGTGAGGGGAGGGGGCTGCCCCCTGCTTCCATCATCCTTGAGTTTCCCTCCCTGCCCCCGCCTGGTCCTCCCCAGAGGCTGCCTGCCCTGAGCTCCCCTGGGGAGGCATCCAATAGAGACCGGAGAGGTATAGACACTACCTCTGGGTCCCACAGCCCTAGAAGCAGGGTGGGCGGCCCCCTAACAAGGAGCGGCAGGGCGCTCAGGTACAATGAGAATGCGGGGGCACCTCCATCCCAGCCTTGGGCAGGGGCAGCGGGTCACACTCACCACCTGCAGGAGGGAGAGGTAGCCCAGACCCACGTTGTCGTAGTTGACCTTGACGTTGAGCCAGCGGACCTGGCCCGTGTGCATCAGGCTCTCGCACTCGGACTTGTTGTTGACCTCGGAGATGGCGAACCTCCCGGAGGTGGTGGTGTTCACGCAGTAGTAGAACTTGCCGGCAAACAGGTTGACTCCCATGATGCTGAAGATGAGCCAGAAGATCAGGCAGACGAGCAGCACATTCATGATGGAGGGGATGGCGCCCAGGAGGGCATTCACCACCACCTGGGGGCCAGGGAGGGGGTCACTTCCAGATCCTCTCCCAGGCAGGCGGGGACACCCAGTCTCTTCTGGGAGAGGGTTCCCACCCACAGTAACCAGGGGACCAGGCACAGTTGGGCCTTGTTGCGCAGGGAAGGCTTCCTGGAGGAGGGCCCATCTGAGCCAGGCCTGGGGGAGAAGTCTGCTGGGCTTTACTTGGGGGCGGGGGGATGGTAAGCAAGGAGTAGGGGTAGTGGGTTGCCGGCCTGGTGGCTGAAGAGGGCTCTCCGCTTGGCTGGAGCCATCAGCCCAGAGTGGAGGCTGGGCTTCTCTGGAAGCAGCCCGGCCACGGGTCACCGGGCAGGAGACAAACACTCTTTCCTTGGCCCCCATAGGAAACTCAGTCCCCGTGACCTGTTCCCCTGCTCATCTTCTCACAGGATTAGAGACACAGACCCAGAAAAGAAGCCAACAGAGTCTTTGAAGCAGCAGGACCCTTGGGAATGGCCTCCTGTGCACTGCCAGCGGTGGCCACCCAGGCCACCCTCATTATTTCAGGCTGAACTGAATCTGAGAACTATCTGTTTTCAGGGAGAAACTGTTCCATGACCTCCAGACAAAGTGGGTGGCGCAAGCCCGGTGATGCCCAGGGGAGCTCTACTCCTGGCTGGGGCACCAACCAGCTGCCAGGTCACTTTCTCTCTGGTGGGGAGGGGTCCCGGCTCCAGGGGTGGGACGGCCCAGTGCTGGCTGGCCTCTTGCATGACCAGGAGGGAGCCACCAGGCTCTGTGCACTGCTGACCTGCAACCAGCTGCTTCATGGAAGTTCGTCCCTCTAGCGTGGGTTTTGCTCCTAACAGACACCCCAACCCCCCACCCCCGCCCCTTGCCTGGGGAAGTCCCATTGGTCTTGCCCAAACCCTGTATTTACCTGTCACTTCCGCCCTCAAGGGCCTGAGGGAAGGGTGGGCAGGCTTGGAGTCCTGGGGGGCCCCAGTCTGAGGCTGGGGAGGGACACCTATAAACCCACAGACCTGCTTTCCTTCCTCTCCTCCTGCCTCGGTGCCCTCAGGCCCCTCCTGGGAGCTGCTACAGCCTCTGCTGCCCCCAGTGGTGGAAGAGATGAGCGAAGGAGGGGGCTGAGGGCGGGAATGGGCACTTGGGCTGGTGTGGGAGGATGCCTGGGGACCTCCGGACCTGGACCCCTGGTGGTGGCTGGAGTACAGACACCCGCAGCCCCCTTCCAAGCTGTGGCTGCTCCCCCAGTCCTTAGCCCTACTCAGAGTCCCCCTCGGCACCCACCCTCATGCCCTGGAATCTAGACAGTGCCCTCAGGGGACGCAGAGCCCTGAGTGTCCGCAGGGATTTGATGGGTCCCAGCTCCGAGTAGCCCAGCCAGTTGGCCACCAGGCTGATGATGGAGACCTGTAATGGGAGGGGAGGGTGGTCAGGGAGAGCAGGGCCTCAGCCACAAGGACCGCCTGGGATCTGACTGCGGGGCCGGGGGTGGGGCAGACTCACATCCACGATGAGGAAGTCGAGCCAGCACCAGGCGTTGGTGAAGTACACCTTGAAGCCATAGGCCACCCACTTGAGCAGCATCTCCATGATGAAGACGTAGGTGAAGACCTTGTCTGCGTATTCCAGGATGGTCCGGATGACTCGCCGCTGCTCGATGTAGATGTCCTCGAAGGCCTGGGGGCACCAGCAGGGCAGGGTGGTCAGGGCCCAAAGGAGGCCAGGGCAGCAGCCACGTCCCTACCTGCCTAAGGCTGCTGGTTCCCAGGGTTCTGGCACCGGGGCCAGGCGGGGGCAGACTCCCCGTGCCCATCATGCGGGTGAGCCAGTGAGTTCCCGGTGGGGAGAAGCCCCTCAGCTCCCCTTCCCCAGGCCTAATAATAGTAACCCTCACTGGTCTGTCAGGGGGGTTCACCTTGACACATCCTGCCCTCCCAACCCCCAATTCCCAAGGCCTTCCCCACCTGATCCCCGGCTGGGACCTGTCAGCTAAGGATGCACAGGGATTCAGAGCCCATCTGTCTCTTTAAGAAAATTAACACAGTCTATAACACATCCTGGAAGCACTGGTGAGTTCTTTAGGATTCTCTGGGTTCGGGGCTGCCCAGGTCTGGCCCCTGCCTCTGCCCAGTGCCCGGTCCCCAGGGCAGCGCCTACCAAGGCTCCACTGCTGAGCAGGATCATGAAGACGATGAAGGTCTCAAACCAGTTGTGCTCAACGATCTTGAAGCAGCCCCTGCGCAGGGTCCACCACATCTTCCCTCGGCCCTGGGAGATGTCCACGTAGAGGCAGGGAAAGCGCTGCACACAGGCTGGGGAGGGACGGCGGCAGGGGCACCGGTCACGGGCCTGGGGGCCACCTTAGGAGGCACAGTCCCGCCACCTTCCCAGGATCCGCCCCCACCCCCTACACACACACAACCACATGCAGAGACATTCCAGAGCACAGGGGTGCAGGCAGCCAGCACAGGTTGTACAGCCGTCAGGCTGTCCCCATCCTCCCCCACCTCGCCCAGGCAGCCTTCACTCTGCCACAGCCCAGGCCCTCCGGGCAAAAATGTTCCCGAGGGGCGAGGCAGGCCTCTCTCTGGCGGACGAAGCTGAGGAGGACAGTCTTAGAGCAGCCACAGCTGAGCGCCTGCTTCGTGCGGTGCCGGCCACACTCGGGGCTCCGTGGGGATTCTGCACAGCAGCCCTCGGGCTGATGCTACTGTCACCTACCGTCGACACTGCAGGGGTCAGAGGCTCAGGGACTGGGAGGCATCCCCAGCTCTGACACCCCTTCCCAGCATTCTATTCTCCTGGGGTGCCGCAGGGCAGGGCAGGAGAGCATCAGAGGAAGAAGGCCCTGCCTGCTTTTGGTGATGCGTGTGTCCCCGAGATGTCCCCAAGGGGGCAATGGGCTGGGGCTGCTGCCGGCCTCGGGCCCCTTACGGGGTCTGCCGGGCTGGGGGAGGCACCCAGGAGAGGTGGGGTCACACACGCGGGCTGGCCCTCACCCTCGGTGAAGCACTCCTCAGGCTGCTCCCCCTCAGGGCTCTCCTCGGCCTGTTCCTTGGGGTCCTCCTCGGGGGGCTTGTAGTCGGCAGTGCTGCAGACGGAGGAGTTCCCGTCGAGGGGCTGCAGCGGCTTCTGCAGAGGCCACAGGGTCACGTGACCCCGGGCCCTCCCACAAGGTGGGGCCGGGGAGGTCAAGATGGGAGACCAGAAGGGAGAAGGGAAAGAGAGGGTGGAGCAGACTCATTCATTCATTCATTCATTCAGCCCTGGATTATGCAGCCACCACTGGGGCCTATGCAGAAGAACGACAGGCCTTGGTCCTGCCCTTGGAGTGGGACAGGGATGAGGCCTGGGGAAGGAAGGGGATGAGCATGGAGCAAAGTCCGAGCCTTCCTATCCTCAGGGTCTGTTTGGCTGAGAAATCCAAAAAGGATGGAAATTTTTCTGCAGCCAAAGCTCCAGCCTGGGGCCAAGGGAACCTAACTGGGAGTGGGTCGGGTGGGACGGCTGGTGCTCCAGCCTGGCCAGGCCTCTCCCACCTCCTCCCGGTGCTGCATCTAGGCCGGCCTCCTGCCCCCAGCCTCCACTCCTCAAGGGGCCCCCTTCATGGCTGGGGGTGAGGCCCCTGAAGAGGAAGATGGAGAGGGTAACCTGGAGGGGCAGGGGGCGGCTGTCAGGACAGTGGCCAGAAAACCAGGGAGGGCCTTGTGCCCAGTCGACAGAAAGGGAAACCGAGGCACCGGGCGTTAGGTTGGGCACGACACCCAATGAGCCACTTGCCCTGCCCGTGCACCCCAACTCTCACAGCCCCCCGGGAGCCGTACTTGTTTCCCCGTGAGAGTCCCCAGAGCCTTGGCCCCGGCTGCTGTCCAGCCCTCCTCCACCCGCTCTCCTCATAGCGAAGTTACTGCCACATTTCCCTGGGTATTTATAGCTTGGCAGGCGCTCAGCTCCCTGGTAAGTCAGTGTGCCACGTATTTGGGGGAAACAAGGAGTCAAGAGCTTTCAGGGCAAAGTTTATTCAGGCTCCGGTGCCAGCGGGGCCCTCGCCGATAGGGTTGGGACGGGCAGGGGGCCCCGCCCGAGCTGCAGGGTGGGCGAGGGGGCTCAGCCTGAGCTTCTGGGGGCGACCACCAGGGCCTCCCCCACCCTCGCAGGGGAGGGGAACCTCAACCCAGCAGCAGGCCCCCTGCATGGGGGAGAGGGGGGGTAGCGGCTCCAGCTCCCGGCTCTCTGTTCCCCTTGAACCCAACCCTACTGGGCCCCTGACCCCTCTCCTCAGCCCAGACCTGGCACTTTGGCCCACACTCGGAGGTTGGGACCAGCCCTCCAGGTGGGGTCTAAACAGAAACAGATGATAATGGCAAGGACTTGGCAGGAGCTTCAAACCCAGAGGGGGTTTAAGAGAGGCCTCTTGGATTCCGGCCCTGGAGCTAGGGTGCCTCAGGTGAGAACATGCTGTCTCAGAGCGCCACCTGCTGGGGAGAGGGGACCCAGGTGGAGTTGTGGGGCAGGGGTGAAGGGAATGGCCTAGGGTATTAGGACAGGCAGGGCATGCCATAATAATTGTATTAATAGTAATAACAGTCACCGTTCACAGAGAGCTGACTGTGCTTTGCACACAGCATCTCATCTAATGCTCACAGTAATACCACAAGGTAGGTACCATTACCCCATTTTATAGATGGAGAAACTGAGGCTTGGAGAGGATTTGTGCCATGTTCAGGGTCACACAAAAATGTAGAGTCATGTCTGTCTGACTCCCGATCCCTCGATCCAGGCTCTGCGACAGGCTCACCTTGCCATCCTCAGGCTCCGAGAAGGTGTCCGTTTCCTCCTCTGTGGGCATCTCCAGGTCAGACTCCTCGGAGGCGATGGGCACGTGGATGGTCAGGTACGGGTTGTTGATGAAGTTGAGGTGGTCCAGCTCAATGCTGGGGGGAGGGCCGTCAGCCAGGCCCATGTGGTTCAGGATATGATTGTCCTTCTTGAGGTCCTTGTTTTCATCCTCCTCGGGCGGTAGCTCCTTCTTCTCATCTTCTGAGACACTTTCCCCAGCCTCGCCGGCCTCGCCAGCCTCCCCAGTCCCCCCGAGGCTGAGCATGACAACCTTGGGGCTCAGGATCTTGCCATGCAGCAGCCCCACGAGGAAGGCTTTGGCGAAGCCGACACCCCACTTGATGCGCGTGATGGCGATCTGCAGGTTGTTCATCTCGCCATCCTCGTCCGAGGCCGCCAGGCTGTCGGCGCTGAAGGAGCTGAGCAGCAGGGCCAAGAAGAGGTTCAGGACCTGGGAAGCAGGGGGTGGGGGGAGCCTGAGCTCAGCCTCTAGGCCCCTGAGGGTGCCACCTTCAGCCAGCACGAGGGGCCTCGGGTCTCCAGATCAGACCCACCTCATGGTGGGCTGTTAAGAGGACGTCACCTTACGGAACCCTCACAACTGCTTGTGAAGGTGAGAAGTGCTACTGTCACGCCCCCTTTACAGATAGGGAAACTGAGTCTTACGCACATGATAGGACTCTGCTGACCAAGGCAGAGGCAGGTTTCGGGGAGGCCCACTGAGTGACAGGGACTCTTTCTATGACTCTGTCCTCCACCTCCACTGCCAGGGGATGTGGAACAAAAAACAGGACTCATGTCTCCAAGCTTCCAGGACTTCTTGGTAGGCTGAATCTTTTGAGCCTTCTTCTCTTGTCTGATAAATGGGACTTTTTTTTTTTTTTTTGCGGTACGTGGGCCTCTCACTGTTGTGGCCTCTCCCGTTGCGGAGCACAGGCTCCGGACGCGCAGGCTCAGCGGCCGTGGCTCACGGGCCCAGCCGCTCCACGGCATGTGGGATCTTCCTGGACCAGGGCACAAACCTGTGTCCCCTGCATCGGCAGGCGGACTCTCAACCACTGCGCCACCAGGGAAGCCCTAATTGGGACTTTTAATAGACACTGTGCTCCCGATACCCAGATGCATGTCCCCTGTTGCTGTAGAAGGGGCATCTCACCTACCACTGCTCACTGCCTTTTCTTCCTTTGGGGTTCCCTGCTCCACCTGGTTCTCTTCTCTTAGCCCCACTGAAAGGGACTTCAGAGGCTACTGGTCCACCCCCGTCAACTTTATTTTCCAGTGGACAGACATTTACTGAGCCCCTCCCACTGTGTGTAGAAGCAAGAGGTCTCAGTTTGCCCTCCGCCTAGAGACAGACATTTGATCAGACAAATACAATGCAGTGGGTATGCACAAAGCAGAGACTGGGGTGCACGGGTTTTGAAACCACGCTGCTTGGCTTTGAACCCCAGTTTCCTAGCCGTGTGTCCTGAGGCAAGTCCTATCACTGCTCTGTACCTCAGTTTCCTCATCTGTACAATGGCGATGGCTCCAATACCTACCTCCTCCCATTGTTGCGAGGATTAAAAGGTCAATACAAGTAGAGCACACAGTAGGCACTCAAAACTTGTTGGCTGTTATGTGTGTGATAATAGAAGACTCTGCAAGGTACAGGGAGGAGTGTGATTAACTCTGAGGCCAGCTAAGCATTTTATGACTGAGGAAACTGAGTCCCAGAGAGGTGGAGTGACTTGCCTGAGGACAAACAGCACAGTCAGAACTAGAACCCCGGTTTCCAATCATTGTACAACTTCAGAGGACATCATTTATTTGGACTACAGTGTGAATGGATACCCCAGAGGCTACACAATGCAGTGGCCCTGACTTCCACCAGCTTACTCCCACCCCAGGGCAGTGAGGAGGAAGGTACAGCCTGGCTGGGGTGGGGGTCCTGTCTCCTGTCAGCCAGAGGCAGGTATTACTCTGGGGGTCTCAGGGTGGGGCTGTATGAGTGGACATGTGGAAGTAGGGCCAACTGTACTACACCATTTTCTACAGGACTTGAGTATCCTCAGATTTTGGAATCTGCAGGGTGTCCTAGAACCGATCCCCTGAGATACCAAGGGAGGACTGTAATGTGAATCTCCCACCCTTGGCCATCTTCTCCATGCATCTCACTGTCTGGCCTTCACCAGTGTCCTCCAAAGTCTTTTTGTCATTGTCTTAACTATCATGTTGACATAATATCTTTAAAATATAGGGGCTTCCCTGGTGGCGCAGTGGTTGGGAGTCCGCCTGCCGATACAGGGGCGCGGGTTCGTGCCCCGGTCCGGGAAGATCCCACGTGCCGTGGAGCAACTAAACCCGTGCGCCACAACTACCGAGCCTGTGCTCTAGAGCCCACGAGCCACAACTACCAAAGCCCACGTGCCTAGAGCCCGTGCTCCACGACAAGAGAAGTCACTGCAATGAGAAGCCCACGCACCGCAATGAAGAGTAGCTCCTGCTCGCCGCAACCTCTCTCTGGGAGAATGTGCTGGGGGTATTTGTCTCCACTGCCATGCCTTCTAGCTACTTTTCTGCCTTTGCCCCCCACCCAAATTTACTGGTTTTTCTTTCCCTCTTTGGCGGGAGGTGTCCAGTTGCCAGAAGCACATCTGAGATGGGAATTAGCTGCTCTCTGGGTCAGCAGGGTTTGCACACGGCTCCTGCCTGGGACAGAAATAGCTACCTCAGGCAAGGCATGGGGGGTGGGTTGGAGGGAAGGGGGACTGACAGCAAGTTCCCCTGGGGGGCTCTGAGGGGGGGTTCCCCATGCCCTGGTCATTTCCTCTTCTTCACAGTAGCCCCGAGGAAGTGCCTGAGTGCCATGGACGCAGGGGACCTGGGTCCCCACACACCCTGGTGGGGTGCTCCGGTGCCCTCTGGCAGACACTTGCTTCCATGAGGCCTGGGAGGGTGGTGGGCAGGGACAGTGCCCAAGGAGCTGGCAGTGCCGCCCCCCTTGGTCACTCCGCTTCCTCTGAGCAAAGTGGGAGAGCCACAGAGCTGGGCCGGAGAAGGGCATCAGGGTGGGTAGGTGTGTGTGTCTGTGTGTGTGTGCACGCGTGTGCATGTGTGTGTGATGGGAGGGTGCGTGTGGCACACACACAGAGGCAGTGCATTGCAGTGGTTCCAGACTCTGGGGCAAGACTGCTTGGGTTCCAATCCTGCACAGGTTACTAATCAACCTCCCTGAGACTTTGCTCGATAAAACAGCACGGCCCTCATAGGGGGTGGTGAGCATTAAGAGATCAATACCAGGAAAGTGCTCAGAATGCTGAAGAAATATGAGTAGCCGTCAAGCTGTCATTGCTGGTACTGCTGACGCTAACCTCATCATTGGTACCATTGCTGCTGGTATTGACGCTATTGCTATTGGAGTTACACAGACCCAGGTTCTAGTCCAGGCTCCGTTTCACACTAGCTGTGTGGTTCTGGGCTGTGCCTCCTGGATGCACAGAGCCAACATTACCTGCCGTGCAGGGTCGTCAAGAGCATTAGGGATAATACACGTAAAGCCCCTGGCACAGGAACCGGCACGTGGCAGAGCCCAACACCAGGAGTGTGATGCTGGTTGGTGATAGGTACTGTACCCGCCACTGCTCCCCCGACGCCTGTAACATTTGGACTCCCCTGGCCTCTTGGGCCAAGTGCTTTGCTAAGCACTTGACATGTGTCATGTAATCCTTACGACCACCCAGTGGAGTAGGTCACCACTCCCATCATCCCCATTTTCCAGTTGAGAAAAACTGAGCCCAGAGAGAAATAACTTGCTCAAGGTTTCCCAGTCATCAGGTGGCAAAGTAGGGGCCTGAAATGTTTTTGAGTTTACACACACACAGACAGAAACCCCCTGCAGACCCTTTTAGTCACCTGCAGGCCCTTAAACTCGCCCTCACAAACTTCTACTGAGAGCCTGCTCCCACGCACCCATCCCGAATCCGGCCCCAAAGTTCTGCTGGGACATCTGCCCTCACTCTCCCCACTCCCTAAGACCCCCCTCCCAGGAGCCACCAGCCTGGGTTCTGCTGTCTGGCTGTCCCTGGGGGCTTGGGACCCCCTCCCACGGTCCCCTCCTCAGTCAAGGTGACATCCCCCACCGCCAGTCCGTCCCTGCCCCCAGCCGGAGCTCAGCCGTATCTGAGAAGCGCTGACCCAGCAGCTCAAGGATTCCACAGGCCTTTGCGGAACATGGGGACGTGTGTCTTCCCACCCCCTGTTGCCCGGGGCAGAGTTGGCCACCACAGGGGGCAGCTGGGCACAGCTCTCCTCGCAGGAGTGACCCCACCCCAAGAAGGGGAGGAGCAGAGTCGGCAGGGTGAGAGGAGATGCCTCCCCCGGCCCCAGCCACAGAAATTCTGGTTAGCTGGGCCATGGCCTCACACCCCGTTTCTCATGGGCCCCTGCACCTCCTTCCCTGCACCAGCCCCGCATACAGAAAGTGGCAGGATGGATGCAGCCCATGCCATCTCCAGATCCTCCCAATGCCCATGGCCTAGTTCCTGGTAACAGAGGGTGAGAGGGTAGGAGGACAAAAGGGCCAGGAGTTCCTGGTACCAACCCCACACTGTGCCTTCTTCGGTCACAGTCAATCCTCCCGGCCACCCCCTGAGGGGCCTACCATTTTTCTTCCACGTGAAGTTAGAGAACTCAGCCAACCAGAGAGCAGTGATTCGTTCAAGGTCACATAGACAGCGGAGGAGCCGGGACTGCAACATGGGTCAGTCTGACTCCAGTTATCATGTTACTTTACCCAAAACACTAGGTCTCAACAGTACTACTCTCAGTGTGGTCCCTGTACCAGAGGCAGTGACATCACCCAGAGCTCATTAGAGATGCCGGTTCCTGGGCCACGGCTCAGAGCTGCTGCGTCTGACTCTGGGGCATGGGGCCAGGAATCTACGTTTTGAGAAACTCCCAGGTGATTCCTAAGCAGGTTAAAATTTGAGAGCCACTGAGTTAAACCATACAAAACTGCCATTTGGGGCTGGGGTTAGGTAGAAAACAAGCATCGGCGGTGTCACACAGTGTAACCTCATGGGAAGAGGGCCCTTCAGCAACAGCCTGATTTAAAGGAAATAAAGGCATGGACACATGTTGGACACTTGGATGTCCTGGGCGAGGGTGGGGGAGCCACCCAGCCGACCTCACTCACCACCAGGTTGCCGATGACCATGACCATGAGGAAGACGGTGAGGCACATGGCCTGGCCGGCCACCTCCATGCAGTCCCACATGGTCTCGATCCACTCCCCGCACAGGATGCGGAAGACGATGAGGAAGGAGTGGAAGAAGTCGTGCATGTGCCACCGGGGCAGGCTGCAGTCCGCGGCGATCTTGCACACGCACTCCTTGTAGCTCTTGCCGAACAGCTGCATGCCCACCACGGCGAAGATGAACACGATGATGGCCAGCACCAGCGTCAGGTTGCCCAGCGCCCCCACCGAGTTGCCGATGATCTTGATGAGCATGTTCAACGTTGGCCACGACTTGGCCAGCTTGAAGACCCGCAGCTGCCGGGCAGGGGGAGGGCAGGGGCCGGTGAGGCCCGGGGACCCCTGGCCCAGCCCCAAGAAAGCCCCATCCTTATAGGAGAAAGAGTAGTTCCCTGACCAGGGATTGAACCCAGGCCCTCCGCAGCGAGAGTGTAGAGTCCTAACCACTGGACCACCAGGGAATTCCCAGAAAGAACTCTTTTGAACAGCTCAACTCCCACCCACTGAGGGATGCAAGGCCTCAGTTTACCTCTCTGTGAAATGGGAATGCTCACATCCTACCACCTAATCCTCTTCGAGTGATCAAAAGAAAGAGTCCTTATCTCTTAAATATACAGGTTAAAGTATTTGCAAGTGAAATGAAATCTCGGGATTTGCTTTAAGATACTCCCCACAGAAAAATTGGGGGGACAGATAAAACAAGAACTATAGAATGTTGACAGCTGTTGGAGCTGGGTGAAAGGTACACAGAGGTGTAGCTCACCTTCTCTATACTTCTGTGGATGCATGAGAGGTCCCTATGGGGTAGTGGAAAGGATGCTAAGTCGGAGTCCCAATTCCACTACTGATGTACTTCCTGAGCCTCAGCTTCCAGCTCTGCAATATGGGTTGAAGTCCCCACCCCACTGCCACCCAAGGTCACTTAGGAGTCAAGCCCAAATGTCAGCTCCTGGGCTGTCATTTTGGTCCCCCAGCAGCTCTGTGTGATAAGGGGGAGGGCGCCTTTCTCCTTTTTTCCAGTAAGAAAGGTTCTAAGAGGCAGAGTGGTGACCAAAGGGCAGAGGGGGCCTTACTTCCAGCCCTCTGGCTTCTTGGCGGCTTCTCCTCCTTTCCCCCAGGCATCCTCACCACACCCTTCCCCCGCCCGGGTGCCAGGGCCTCACGCACCAGACGGAAGGAGCGGAGCACCGACAGCCCCTGCACGTTGGCCAGGCCCAGTTCCACCAGGCTGAGGGTGACGATGATACTGTCGAAGATGTTCCAGCCCTGCTGGAAGTACTCATAGGGGTCCATGGCGATGAGCTTCAGCACCATCTCTGCTGTGAAGATGCCCGTGAAGACCTGCAGGGTGGGGTGCAGCCCCCGTCACAGAGCCTCAGGGGCACAGAACCTCGGGAGTCTCCAACCCCACTCCCACCTCCAGGGCTCGAGGGGAGGGCGACAGAGCCCTGGGGGCGCAGGCAGTGGTACCCACGGCCCACAGGTGTGTGTACGTGAGTGAGTGAGGAGCGGAACGACCATGCCACAGGGCAGAGTGGGAACCACTCAGACACCGGGGCCCGTCCATTCCTGGCCTTGTGACGGTTGGCCTGTCACGTGACTTCCTGGGGCCTCAGCCCAATCATAATAATATTCGACACTCATACAGCACGCTGTCGTTCACATTATGACCTTATCGGTATCCCAACCTCTGTGAGGTTTTGAGGAATGATCGTGCTCATCCCAGAGATGAGAAATTGAGGCTCAGAGAGGTCAGCAGTAAGCGGTCGGTCACACTGCCCACATAGAAGCACGTCTCAAACCAGGTCTTGGGGTCCCTACGCCCCACAGCCTCTCTACCCTGGTTGGCTGGGGTCCCTACGCCCCACAGCCTCTCTACCCTGGTTGGCTGGGGTCCCTACGCCCCACAGCCTCTCTACCCCGGTTGGCTGGGGTTCCCTACGCCCTACAGCCTCTCTACCCTGGTTGGCTGGGGTCCCAGGACCCAGAAAATCTTGGTGGCTTTGGAAGTCTAAGGCAGGGCCCCAAAGAGGATGACGCAGAGGATCAGTGAGAAGCCAGAGCTGAGCCCCCAGAGCCCTGGACTTGTCTGAGAGCTGCAGAACCTCTAAAAGCTCCCTGGGCACGGTCCCCCTCCTGCCAGGCACCAGCTGCCCCGGGTCCATAGCCTGCCCGGGCACACGCTGAGCCCCGCCCAGGAGCTGTCCCTGCCCGTAGCAGGTGCCCAGACAGCAGCAGAGCGTGGGCAGGGGGTGGGCAGGCGGCGGGCCGGGCCCATCACACACACCCCAGCAGCTGCACCGCGGGTCCAGAGCACACCCTTGCTCCTCCAGTCCGGCCTGGCCATGGCCGCCTCGGGCATCTCCGTGGGGTGGACGTGCCTGCCTCGCGGGCTGGGGAGTCCAGGGTCTGATTCCTGTGCCGCCCACCCAGTCCTCGTCCTGCCCCAGGCCCCAAATCTGACTCTTCCTGGGCTCCCCACGCCTCAGGAGAGGGGGAGCATCTTGCCCATTCGCCATCCTGGAAATGTTGCAAAGGCAATTGGGAAGGGTGGGGCTGGACTGGAGAAGGAGGCAGCTTTTTCCCTTTGTCAGGCTCCACAGGGGCTGGCAACAAGGTGATAATGCTCCTAATGGGCAGGGATAAGCAGGCGGATCAGTGTGTGTCAACAATAGCAGAGCAGAAAGGGCTGGAGAGGGGAGCTGGCCTGGCCATGCCGGAGAAATGGCAGCGGGCAGGGGGGCTCAGGGCTGGGGGACTATGCCCTGGGGTCTCCAGAGTGAGCTGGGGCCTCTTGAGCCTGGGTGCCCATGGCTCTATACCCCCACTTCCAGGTCCCTTGGTCCCTCTTAGGCCCACAACAACCTCTGAAAGTGGAGAGACTTGCCATCCAGCCACCCCCATACCTCTGTGCTCTCACTCCCCCATCTCTGCCTCCAGGGCATGGCCTGGACCCCAAAGCCCCCAAAATCCTGATCATAAGAAGTCAAGCACCTCATCCCCGGTCTATCTGCCCCCAAGTACCCTAAAACCCAAATTCCACGTTCCATGGATCACCCCATGTACATCCCTGGTACATCAACTCATGCCCCCATATACCCATATGCTGGGAAAATAACCCCAGCCTGTCCCCTTATGCCCCCTAGTCGTGCTCCATATTTCCACACAGCCCGTCGGGCCCTGTGGCCCCTCTCCTGTCCTGCACAGGAAGGACAGCCTCTCCCTCGTCCGCTCCCTACCAGGTTGCCCACGTTGAGCACTCTGTCAAATTGCTCCGTCATGGGGTAATGCTCCATGGCCATGAAGAGGGTGTTGAGCACAATGCAGATGGTGATGCCCAGGTCCACGAAGGGGTCCATGACAATCAAGTGGACGATGTTCTTGAACTTCATCCACGGGGTGCAGCAGTTCCATATGAGCACTTTCTGGGAACACTTGTACCACCATGGTGGGCACTTCTGGTGGGCCTCTTCCAGCTCTGGGAGTAGGGTGGAAACAGATACCTGATGAGGATCCCCCCTCACGTGCTCCTTCCTCCACCTAGGTCTTTGGTCCCACCTTCCAAGCCCCACCCCCTGGAGCATCACACCTCAAGCCCCGCCCCCTCAGGGAGGCCTACTCCAAGCCCCGCCTCTCAGTGGGTCACCCTCAAGATCCATCCCTCTAGACGCCGCCCACATGGCCCCACCCCTCAGTGCCCCGCCCCCCAACACGCTGTCCCTTAGCTGACCCTCAAAAAGCCACACCCTCAGCAGCCTTACCCCAAGCTCCTCTCTCCCAGTGTTCTACTTCAGCTCGGCCTTCCTGGAGCTCCCCACCCCCCCAACGCGATGGGGTGACTCCCATCCTCTGCCTATGGCCCAGGGCTGCGATCTCGGCTGGGGAGGGGCCCGAGGGCCCCCAGGGAGAGGCGGGAGGCCACTGCAGGGGGTTGGGTCCCAGTTCCACCTGCTGCTGGCCAGCACCACTCAGGAGCAAACCATGGTTCCCCCCAAGGGCTCACCCTCTCACTGCCAGTATGCCGGCCCCTCCAGACTGTCCCCAGCCAGTCCTTCCTTTCCCACCAGGGTAGCTTTCTGGAAACATCCCCTGTTCTTGCCACTCCAGCTCTAAACCCCTGGGGCTCCATAAGGCCCATGGGTGACGCTGCTTCTCCTCCTGGTCTTCCAGGCCTCTGCTGCCCATGGGGCTTCTCAGCCTGGGCGTGCTCTCATTTAATTACCACCGGAAATAGATGAGGTAAGTATATTAGTGCCCCCACGTCATAGATGAGGAAAGAGGACTCCCAGGGCAGCCCCATAGACACCTGGGTTTGAGTGCGTGATTGGGACACCCCAGAGTTTGGGGGCGGCTGAGCCGCACCCCCACCCAAGAATTAGTAAACCAGGCTGCAGATTCTGCTCTGGCAGCAACACCCTTACCCCCAACCCGGGTGCTACTGAAGGTGCCCCAAACTGTGTCTGAGGCCCCAAACTTCCCACCACAGTCCCAGCAAGGACGGCGTTGAGTGACCTCCTCGGCCAGCCCTGCCCAGCGTTCCCTGGGGCATTCTCTGGCAGGGCACACAGACACCTGGATGCCCGTCACACAAGGTCAGCTGGGATGGGGCCCTCTAGAGGTTTGCAAAGTCCTCCAAGTCCTTCCTGGCACAAGGCGAGACACCTGGGGAGGGGCCCGATCCCTTCTATGTCAGATTTCCTTGCATCTCCCTCCCTTGCTTCCCCCTTTCCTCCTCCTCCCTCCCTCCCTCTCATCCATCCACACACCCATGCCTCTTCCCATTCATTAATCTTTCAGCCCACCCACCCAACCATCCATCCGTCTGTATGTCTATCCACCCTCTCCTCGTTACCTAATCCTAGTGTCCCACTGAGGCCTGGGGGGCAGCACAGGGATTTGGGGGAGTCTGTGACTCTATCTGGGCAGAGGGACCTTTGATGTTTAACTTTTACCCAGAAGATATTTGAGGAACAGGATCTCCAGTTTCCGGAACATTGGGCCTTCCTGGTTCGTATTATTATCCTGTCCTTCCCCATTGCCTTGGCAGCCCCCAAGGCCTCCCGGAAGCCCCCAGTTCCCGCCACAGCCTGGCCTTGCAGCCAGAATTGGGCCAGGGTAAGCCAGGACTATATTTATCACAGCCATTTCTTCGATGCCAATATTAAGTTACTGTCCTGAAGCTGGGCCCAGCCAGGCCCTCCCGGCCCCCACCCCGGGAGTGCAAGTGGCCTGATGGGCAGGACAGGTAGAGTAGGATGGGTATGGGGATGCCAGGCACTCACCTTCCATAGCATCTGAGATGCCGCTGTCTGCGCTGCAGCTGGGTCTTGGGGGCCCCTTCTCCCCCGCCGATGTGTCCAGGCTGCCGTTGCAGTCTTTGCCGTGGGCTGGGTCCTCGTCTGCCTCCCTACCTTCCATCGCCTGAGCGGCCTTGGCCTGTGGACCAGAAAGGGTGATGGACATAAAGTCCATTGCTGAGCCATGGGGATGGACTAATGGACGCTCAGAGCTTCTTCCTGAGTCTTTCAGGCTGGGGGCCCCTCTTTTTGGCCTGCACCCAGCTTACTGTGGGCAGGGGCGGCAACCTCGGTGGTGGTGGGGTGACAGGGTAGGGACCAAAGTGACTGAGGACACACATCCTGAAGACCCTTCACTCTCTGAAGCCTTGACTGACCCTGCACTTCATGAGATGATGGGTAAATGTACAGCTGCTCCCTGGGGCCTCATCAGGACCCACCTCTCCCTCAGCCTGGACCCGTACGCTGCCCATAAAGAATCATAAAACCGTAGGAATTTGAGCTGGAAGCCTACGTCAGGTTTAACTACTCCAGATTCCTTGTTATATACGGGGAAACTGAGGCACTGAACTGAGAAATACTCTTTCTACTGCTTGCATGCCTCCCACCCCACCAAAGCTCTAGCCTGAGCCTTCTGTTCCCCATCCTCTGCCTCGCAGGCCCTACCCCATGCCTCCCCCGACCCCCCTCAGCCTGCCCAGGAGCACCCAGGCTGAGGGGCAGGGAGATCCCTGGGTCCTCGGCCTCCTCTCCCTGAGTCCAGACCTTCCCCAGCTCTTCCTGCTGCTTTTTGAATTTCTCCAGCATCTGCTGAAACTCTTCTTCTTTCTCCTGATTCTCGGCCAAGGTGGCCTCGTTCTGCTCAGCGTATGCCATGGCCACCACCGCCAGGATCAGGTTGATGAGGTAGAAGGAGCCCAGGAAAATGATGACCACGAAGAAGATCATGTAGGTCTTGCCGGCTGCTCGAAGGGTCTGGGAGTGGGGGAGGGAGAGAAAGCGTCACATGGCACCCCCCTGCTTTCACCCACACCCATCTCCATACATCCATCACCCAGATAGGTAAACAGAGAGGGTCCTTCACAGAGCCAGGCAGTTTGAGGGCTTTTGAGGCAAGGTATAGCCACCCTTGGCAGGCTAAGCCACATTCTGGGGTGCTTCAAAATACATACTCAGGACCCAGACCTTCCTGGTCTCCTGGCTCAGAAAGCCCAGAGGACCTCAGCCAGACATCTTGAGATCAGAGAACCAGGATAAAAATTGGTGAACATGGGCTTTGGGATCAGCTTGAGTCCTAGCTTTCCCATAGCGCTTGGCATCTAGTAAGAGCTCAGCAAATAGTAGCTATTATTATTATTATTATTACTAAATATTATTATTAACATCATCATGTTAGAAACATCACCAGGAACCAGCAGGCACTGTTGCTCCAGACCCAACCTGCCCACCTGCAAACAGTGGAAGGTAAATAATTGTGTATGGGCAGAGTTGGAGTCTAAGCTGCCCTACCAGTTACTGTGAGGCCTGGGAGTCTGTGCCCAGCTCAGATCTCAGCTCTTAAGGCAAATGAGGAAAAGGAAGAAGGGGCTGAGGCTCCGATCTGGGCACGTACCTAGCGTCAGAGGGCTCTGAGAACCCGTATGTAGGGGCATTTAGGGGGTACCACAGAGGGGACAGCCTTGTTAGGGGCCCCACCAAGCCCAGAGGAGGCCGTGGAGATGGAGGGAGGTAGCCATGGGGCTGAGGGGCAGGGCGGGGGGCCGCTGTACCAGCTGGAAGAGGTTCTCCCAATAGTCCTGTGTCATGAGGCGGAACAGAGCCAGGAAGGCCCAGCTGAAGGTGTCATAGCTGGTGTAGCCATAGTTGGGGTTCCGCCCGGCCTTGATGCACTCGTAACCTTCAGGGCAGCGCCTGGGGATAGGATGGGGGCTGGCTTTAGGGAGAAAGGAGAGCTCCAGCCGGGAGATAGATGGGAGGATCCCAAGAGAAAACTATCCTTCCGTCTTGTCTGCATCCCCCAAAATGGAAAGTGTTCCCCCCATGCCCATGAATTTTCTTTAGGTTTCCATCCACCCCAGGTTCTCATCCCTAATCATCCCCCATCTTCTGACAACCCTGGGACATCTGCCCTCCACCACCCCCCACCACCCCCGCCAGTGTCACTCACCCAGCGTCGCTGCTGTTCCCACAGAGCAGGGCGTCATTGGAGCCTTCCAGGAAATAGAAGTTCCCTTTGGGAGTCAGAGGCCACAAAGGAAACATGTCACCACATGGACACTGTGGGCACAGTACCCACTGTGCACCTGTGGACACATCTGTGTGGACCACACGCTCTCTGGGTGCCCCTTCCCTCTCCTTTAAGGGCAGCTCCAAGTTCCAAGGTCTCTGGGTAGATACATTTTGCTGTCAGCTCAGTGCCTAGTGTGGGGTGCCGCAGGGGCACAGAAGGATACGGGGTGGGGGACATGCATGTGTGTGGATGGGGCTACCATGTGCCTGTGCAGGACCCTCAACTGAAGGGGGGGATGCGGCTAGAATCCAGGATGCCAGGTTGAAGAAGGGGTACCATTTTCTCAGCTGCCAGGAGGCACAGTGTGAAGTAATAGTGGCTTTGTGAGAATGTTGCCTCGTGCGTGTGAGGCTATGAAGTCTGGGTATGTGAATAGGATGCGGGGGCCTGGTGGTGGCCCAGCCAGGGTGCGAGCATGTGGTGTGATGGAGAACAAGGAGTATGTAGGTTAGGGACTATGCACTGCTGCTTTTTATAGCCAAAGTTTTAGGATTTTCAAAGCAATTTGGCATTTGTTGTCGCACAAACCCTTTGAGAAAGGTATTGTTGTCTCCATCTTATAGGTAAAGATTCTGAGGGAGGGGGAGATGAAGTGACTTGTCAGAGGTTACCCCAGCTGGTAAGTGATGGATTCACACTCAGGTCTTCTCCATGCTCTTTGTCTCACAAGGGGCTGCGACCGGGGCTGGGAAAGACCCCACTGGCCCCCCGACCCTCCGTTCTTACCTTCGTCATTGATGTAGGCATCCCAGTCAAAGGTAGAGTTGCTGGCCCAGCTCTCCTGGCCGTCCCAGGAGTCATTGCCGTACCACGTGGTGTCGGTGTCATTGAAGGGCGGGGGCCAGCGCACACACTTCTGCCGCAGGTTTCCCATGAAGAGCTGCAGCCCCACCAGGGCAAAGACACTCAGGCAGAAGACGGTGAGTATCATCACATCTGACAGCTTTTTCACCGACTGGATCAGGGCTCCCACGATGGTCTTCAGCCCTGATCACAGGGAGGGTGAGAGTTGGGGCTGGGCAGGGCAGGGGGTAACTCACCCACTCAGCCCCTCCGAGCCTCTGCCTACTCCACCTCCTTCAAGCCCTGATTTACTTGGGGCACTGCTTGCCCGAAGCCTTCCCAAATTAGCCCCATCCTTCTCTGGTTACAACCCCCATCTGGAGCCTTGAATGGCCACCGAATCTCAGCCACTAGACAAGGGACTACGAAGACTTCACAGTGTGTTGCCCTAACTCGGAGAGCAACACCCAGTCACACAGTGGAGCTTAATACATGTCGCTAAGTCAGCACTCCTGAGGTGTGTTCCTTAGAACGCTCATCTCGCAAGCTGTGCCCTTAACAAAAGGGGTTCAATCACGTTTGGGGAAGGCTGAGCTCTGGAGCGCCCTCTTGGAGGGTCCTTGTGTAGATTAGCCTATCAAAGGCTCGGAAAAGTCCTACAGAAACAAAAACTTTAATGCCAGGTTTCACATTATTTGACACAGAACCCTTTCTCTCTCTCTTTTTTTTTCTTTAATAAATTTATTTATTTTTGGCTCCATTGGGTCTTCGTTGCTACGCGCGGGCTTGCGGCCTTCTCACGGCGGCGGCTTCTCTTGTTGCGGAGCACAGGCTCTAGGCGCACTGGCTTCAGTAGTTGTGGCTCGCAGACTGTAGAGCGCAGGCTCAGTAGTTGTGGCGCACGGGCTTAGTTGCTCCGCGGCATGTGGGATCTTCCCGGACCAGGGCTCAAACCCATGTCCCCTGCATTGGCAGGTGGATTCTCAACCACTGCGCCACCAGGGAAGCCCCCTTTCTCTTTTAGTGACTGTTAACACCCAAGGAACAGCAGGGTTCACTCTGAGAAGCTCTAGGCTGACTTTGCAATATCGCATTCCACTCCTCTGGACTGTCAAAGGCATAGCCAAATCGTATGGAATTCCAGGCTCAGATTCCATCGTTTATAGAAGAACCATAACTTCTTCCTTGGGCCTAATCAGTGTGTCTCTTGCTTCAGTATGAGTTTATTTCTTTTTCTTATCCTGGTATGAAAACAGATGCTCAGCAGCCTCCTTATAAAAGCCCTCTGAGCTCTGAGGATGCTGGAAGCATGGCACCGAGGGAAGGTATTGTGGCCTTGACTCAGGGGCCAACGTGCCGTGTGGCCTTCAGTAAGCTCTTCCCTCCCGGGGTCCTCCTTCCTCAACTGCAATTCACGAGGGCTTTGGACTAGAGGAGAACTAACGTATTTTCTAGCACTATGACTTCACAATTTCCCCTCCTCCCAGAGTCTGTTCTCCATGCCTTTTCAGATCATCTTTCTCTCCTTTAATGAACCTTCTCCAGTTTCTCCACATGCTTTTTTGAGGGTCCGGATGATCCAGATTCTAGTTATTTCATGCTTCTTGATGCATTACTTTGGAATTGCCCTGGCCTGATTGCTCAGTGGGTATGTGGCGTGTTCATTATTGAGCCCACAGGGCTGGGACTTTCTATCACTGATTCTCTGTGTCTCTCTCAGGTGGAGGTCTCTGCTCTGCCCAGTCTGTTTATTTTATTGAATACACATACCCTTTGTTAGGCATTGTTCTAAGCACCTTATTGCTATCAAGGCTTTGAATTCTCATAACAACCAGATGAGTGGTACTGTTATTATCCACATTTCACAGATACGGAAATTGAGGCAGACAGGGAAGGCACTTACCCAAGGTCAAAATTAGGAAGTGGTGGAGGTGGGAATTGAACCCAGGCTCCAGAATCTGTGCTCTAACCACCTTGCTATGCTGCCTCTTAAAACTCATCCTCCCACCTGGGGCCCCTTCTCCTCTCTGGCCACAGGGGCCCCTCTGTGTCCAGGCTTTGGTGTAGGTCCTACACCACCTGGGAGGGCTGTGACCCTGAGTCACAGAACTTGAGTGCCTGGTTCCAGGCCTGGGGGAGGGGGGAGGCCTGATGGCCTGGGCAGAGGGTCCCTGCTCCTCCCCAGTACCTGGGATGACTGTGATGGTTTTCAGGGCCCGCAGCACCCGGAAGGTTCTCAGGGCTGAGATGTTGCCCAAGTCCACAAACTCCGTCAGGTACCTGGGTGGGGAGGTTGGGGCGAGGGCTGTGTCAGAGCCGAGGGTGGGCGGTAGGGCAGAAGTCACAGGTTCTCCAGGCCCAGAAGGAGGATTCCCAAGGAATCCTTGTAGTTGGGGTTACCGTGGAGTTGCGGGGGGACAGGTCAGGCACAGCAAGTTTCCTGTCGGGGCCTGAGAGGTGGGGAAGACAGCGCAGCAGCTTTGCTGAGGAGTGGGGTTAGCAAGGGTAGCCCAGCTCTCCCGGGTGGGGACCCGTGGGACTAGGGCTCAGGGCTGCTGTGTGTGGTCATATGTGCTATGTGTAGGGGCACCAGGACAGACTCCCAGCCAGACCCCGGGAATGGCAGCTCCTAGAACTGTGCAGCCCGCTATCTGCAAGCTGGACCCACAGCCCTGCGGTCCACCCTCTGAGGCCTGGCCCCCTCCCCTCCCCCTCATCAGCCTCAGGACGCCCTCGGGGCCCTGCTCACGCCATCATGATGACGCTGAAGTCCAGCCAGTTCCAGGGGTCCCGGAGGAATGTGAAGTCTTCGATGCAAAAGCCTCGGGCCAGGATCTTGATGAGGGACTCAAAGGTGTAGATCCCTGTGAAGGTGTACCTGGCAGGGAGAGGGCCGGCCAGGGCCAGCCATGTCACGCCGGGGCCGGGGTGTGGGTGGCAGTGATGGGCCTCCTGGGAAGGAGGGCACAGAAGTGACATATGCCACCCAGGGGCTGAGGACATTGGTGAGAGTGACAGTGTGTGCCATTCCGGGGACTTAAGGTGTTTGTTGATGGGGGTGGCAGTGACAGTGTTTGTCTCCCTGGAAGACAAGAGCAGTTTCACTCTGGGCATCCTCGGAGTGCACACCTGGGACCGGCAGACACCTGGGACCGGGGGACCGGGGGAGGGGGAGACTTACTCCACATGCTTAGACCAGGAAGGCGGGTCGCTCATGGTCATGAACACGCAGTTGGTCAAGATGGTGATCATGATGAACATACTGAACAGCGTTGGGGGGAGAGTCAAGGAAAGTGAGGGAGCAGGTGGGAGGGGAGGTGGAAAGAGGGCCTCCTGCCCACCCCCGAGCCCTCCCTGCCTTTCCCCGCCCCTGCGCTCGCCCCACTCGGGCAGGATATGAGTGGATGAGCACCTTGATGGCGCAGCGTCTGAGGGTGCTAAAGGGGCTCAGCACGTAGAGAGCAGGTGTGGCAGAGAAGCGGAAGATGGCCTTGCCCTTGTTGAGCACGATGAAGGTCTGCGGCGGGGAGAGAGCTGTGAGGCCTGGGACAGGCAGACAGCTTGACAATGGACAGACGGGTGGAGGGAAGCCTCCCAGGCCCGGACCTTCTTGTCACTGTAGTAGGGATCCAGTTCCTCCAGGGGGATGCCAATGACCTCCGGTGGGGGGTCCCCATATATAAGGGGCAGGCTCTTGCCAGCCTCCAGGTCACTGCACGGCTTCTGTTCGGGCTCCTCAATCCCCGTCTGCTTGTTCCGCTGCTGCCGGGCCTCCTCCTCCATCACCCGCTGTTCTATGGCTGCCTGGGACTCCCGGGTGAAGGGGCGCAGGCTCTCAGGGCCCAGAGGCACCACCGTGGGCAGAGATGAGGTGGCCATCCTCGCATCCTGGGCTCAGGGGCCAGCAGGGCGGCAGGCAGCTGGGACGGCTGCAGCGTGCAGCCCCCGGGGTGCTGGGCGGCCACCCCGCCCTGGGCCTGCTGTCCGCTACTCACCTCCTGCCTGACCAGGGGCCAGGGCGGGGAGGTCGGCGTACAGGCCCTTTTGGGGCTGGGAGGTGTGCCTGCCGGGCCCAGGTCCTGCTGCACAGGTGCTGGACACAAGAGCATCCCCCCCAAGCCCCGCACCACACTCTCCCCAGCAAGGGCTTGGCTGCACTCTGGACTGACAGCAAACCAACCAGATCCTCTTCCGCCTTCGAGACTTGGGGCCAATGCCCCAGTGCCTTCAACCGCCTCCTGGTCCCAAGTTCTGGGGACTGTGTGGCTTCAGCCTATGGGGACAGAGAAAACCACAGCTGGCTATGCCCATGTGACCTCTATCCAGCAGTGAGGCAGAAAGGAATCAGATGTGAAATGTGAGGGTGGGTTGAGGATGGGCCGAGGTGAGAGGCCTGATGGGGTCAGCCTAAAGCAGGAATGGCAAATGGATTACATCCTGAGGGCTGACTTGGATCAGCTGCTATTGGCTGCATTGGAGATGTGGGCAGACTATCAAGATTGCAGCCTGAAAAAAAAAAAAAAAGATTGCAGCCAGACTCAGTGCAAAAAGACTGCTGTGATTGATTAGTGATGTCTGCCAGGGGCATGAGAAAGGAGAATGTGGTACACCTGCCTGTACTCACCGTATCTGGCCTGGAGGGAAGAGAAAAGGAAGATGTGGGAATGTGGAGTGCCCTGTCCTGAGCTTTGGGGAGGTGTGATGTTGGTCGGGGAGAGGGAAGAAGGAAGGTTCCCGGGCACTGCCAAGGATCCCACCAGCTCCCTCCCCCAGGACCCATGGGACCTAACCCATGGGCAGGCAGGGGGAGCTGGAGTGGGAAAATGCAGGGTGTGTGTGTCGGGGGGGTCATGTCAGGAGAGCCTGAGGATGCTAACGTGGAAGAGAAGGACACACAGGAAAGGTCCTGGAGACAAGGAGACGGAGAGTTTCAATGGTGGGGGCAGGGCTAGAGCTCCCAGGGACTGCTTTTGGCTGGTGGTCCCTGTATGAACTGGGCTGATAGAGGGGTCCCCACCAGGAGCTGCAGAGGCCTGTGAGAGCTGCGCAGCCCTCCTGAGCCTGTTCCCTGTGGAAGCAAGGTGGTAGGTCACTTATGGCAAAGGCCCTGGGGAATGACCCGCAGCAGCAGGCGGGCACAGGGACACCACAGCAGCCTGGTCACACACACAGCCATCACTAGGCCCGCACGGACAGATGCCCCGGAGCCACCCCTCCACCAAAGGGCCTCAGACAGAGCCCCCAGAGACATCCAGGGCTACACCGGAGGGTAGCCCTGTCACAGCGGGCCCAGAAGCCTGAGCAGTGCCCCTGCCCTGGCCAGTGCAGGCACTTGCTCAGACTTGGTCAACAGGTGGGGCGGGCGGCCCAGGGAGTGGCCGGAGCCATTGGGCAGAGCTGGCCACGCCCCCTGCCTGGCTGCCCAGCTGCTCCCTCCCTGGGAGTCGTGTTTCCACGGGGATGACTCTGCTCATTCCTGCTGACCCCGTCCCTCAGCTGCTCATTGGCCCCATCGTGTGCGTGGGAGTGTGTGTGCACGAACACACACGTGTACACACAAGCGCAGACACACGAGAGCGCACGCCCAGCCTGAAACCACCCCTCACGCTGACCTCACAGTTGCACCTACCACTTGCCACATATCTTTGCTCCTTCTTCCCCATCACTGGCCTCACGTACATGCCCAAACAGAAGACACTGACGTGCCAGGCGGCCCTGGCGGGACCACGGCCACTCGGCGGCCTCCCAGTTCACTTGCCCCGCTTGGCAACAATCCTCTGGCCTGATGCTGCCCCCTCTCTCCCTTGCAGGCGCCCAAGTGGAACCACAGATAACCAGAGATGAACAGTCTGGCTCGGGCCCCAGCACCCATGGAAACTGCGCTCACCAGAGGCACCAGAGGCCCCGATCAGTCAGACCCAGTGGTTTCTGTGCAGCCGACCCTCCCTCGCACATCTCACGGCCACGGCCTCTCTTCTCAGGAGGAAAGCGTGGCCTCCCCGTCCGGCCACTCTCTCTACATCTGCTCTGTGAGCCCCTCCTTCCTGCCCCTGGAAGACGCTGCTTCTCCAGGGCCTGGTCTGCAGCCCTGTTTGCCTTTCACAGCAGGCACCTCTCCCGTGCCCTTCTCTGCCACGGGAATAACCACCATCCACCTCCTTTCCGTGGTTTCTGTTCCCACTTCCCTGACGGCCCCAGACCCGTCAAGTCACGGGTCCCCTTCATGTGCAGCCACAACATTGGCAGCTCTCAGGTCAATGGTGATTCACGCCCTCCTTGTGCGATTATCTGTGGTCTGTCTCCCCCCACCAGACTCCTCACAGGCCTGGGCTTGGGGTCACCCCTGAACCAGTGCCTGGCACATTGGCATGGGAGCACCAGATGGCACAGCCAGCCTGGCACCTCCTCCTGCTGGCCCCCAGCGGGCCTCCAATGGAGTCCTCATCTCTCCCTTTGAAATCTGCACTTCACTGTAAATTCCTCTCCTCCTACCCTCTTCACCAGCCCTGAAGCCACTTCACATCTGGATGTCTTGTTATGTGAGTGGGTAAATGCCCTCCTTGGCTAGGCCAGTTGAGGCAATGGTTTTGGTTGCTGGTGGCTGAAAGCACCCTGGTGGCACATCTGGTCAGTTCCCAAGCCATGCTGAGGCTCCTTCCCAGCACCCACATGTCTCTCCATCCTCCAGGCTACTGCTGCTTCGTCACCCCTCACCTGCTCTATTCAAATAGCCTCCCACCTGCATCCCTACCTCCTGCCTGGCTCCCCTCCAAGCCACCATCCCCATTTCTAAAATCACAAATCTGATCATGTCACCTTCTGCTTAATCCTTCGGTGGCTTCCCACTGCTTAATAATGTGTCCACACTCCTCCACGTGGGTCCCAAGGCCCTGCACGATCCGATCCCTGCCTCATGGCCCATCACTTCACCACACACACCCATCCTCTGGCCATGCTACCTCCATTTTCACAAAAGGGCCAAACTGTTTTCCACCGAAGCCCGTGCCTTTGCTTATGGTCTGCTTGCCTCCTGGAGCACTCCTTCTTTTTGGCATCCCGGAGAGCTTTAATTCGTCCTTCCAGACTCAACCTACACAAGAACCACCACCTCCAGGAAGCCCTCCCTGGGCACCCTGGCTGAGCGGATTGCTCCTTTGTACCACCAGTGTGCCTAACAGTGGATAAAAGGTTATCAAATGAATGAATGGATGAGAGGACCCTTCCACCTTAGCCCATTTCTCCTTTGAGCCCACCCTGAACTTAAATCATAACCAGAAACTGGATCTCTGATATCGCCACTCACACATTCCCCTCCCCCACCTCCTACTGCTTAGCTCAAGGGCCCTGTTGTGTAATCCTTGGGCTTCTTCTTACACTCAGTCCTTGACCCTGAGATTTCTCCCTCTCCGTCAGCCCCTCAGACTTCACCTCCCTCCTCTTCCAGCCTCCGTTACAAGATCCATCATCGTAATCCCTCCCTCGAAAATACGCTTAACTGCAGCCTTCTCTCTCCTTCCACCCGCCTCACCTGGGGAAACCTCAGCCTGCCTGGCCTGGCTGTGCTCTTCCTGAGGCAGCCCTGAGCTGCTGGATGCTGTTGCAGCCAAGGCAGGACTTCGCTGGGTTCACGCTGTCTCTGTGGTTATAAACTCCGGGTTTGCCCTCAGTGTCGCCCTCTAAGTGTAGGTTTCTCTGTGAGTCTCGCTTTTCCACTTTTTGAGATCAACTACTTCGTGCCTTCTCTTCTTTCCTCAACACCCCCATAGTCTTCCCCATGATGCTCCCAGCTGGTGACTCTGTCTCAGTCTTCACTGAGAAAACAGGATCCGTCACACACAAACCAACAGAACTATTCTCATTGCCCGCCCCTTCCTCCTCTGTCCTGATAACAAAAGAAGACTCAAGACCAGGACTTCCACTTGGTCTCAAGCCCCTGACCCCGCCTGCCTTCCTGAGGGCCTCCTTCTCTACTTACCTTCTCCCTCTCCCACCACCAGCCCCGCCCCTTCTATGACCAGGTGCTGCCATCTTCAGAATTATGGCAGTGGTGACAAAAACCACCCTCCCGGCCCCATGCCTCCCTTCACGCTTACTCTAATTTTCTGTTCCTCTTCATGGACACACTTCTTGGAAAGTGTCTACACCAGCTGTTTTTCCTTACCTTTGCTCCCTCTCCAACCCATTCCAACCTGGCGTACATTCCCCCCACTCCACGGAAGTGGCTTTTGTCAAGTCACTAGCACCCTCCCTGCTGCCAAGTCTGCTGAACACGTTTCTGTCTTCACTTCCCTCAACCTCATAGAAACATTCAATCCAGTTGGCTGCAGTCCCCTTCTGGACAGGATCTCTCCTCTCAGCCTCCACGACAGCTCACCCATAGTTTACCTCCTGCCTCTCCGGCTGTTCCTTCTCAATCTCAGGGCTCTGTCTGGGTCTGGGTGGCATCATTCCTATGACTGTAAGTAGTGTTATAGGAGTATGTTAAACCCCTCCTCTGAACTCCAGACCGATATATTTAACTGGCTATTGGACCCCACCATGTGGATAGCTAACAGGCATCCAGTCGACAGCATCTGGAATGAAACATTTGTCAAGGACCTATCATATAGCACAGGAAACTGTGCTCAATATTATGTAACAACCTAAATAGGAAAAGAATTTGAAAAAGAATAGATGCATGTATATGTATAACTGAATCACTTTGCTGTACACCTGAAATTAACACAACATTGTTAATCAACTATACTCCAATATAAAATAAAAAGTAAAAAAAAAAGAAATATATTCTCAAAAAGCAAACAACCCAATCAAAAAATGGGCAGAAGATCTAAACAGACATTTCTCCAAAGAAGACACACAGATGGCCAACAGGTACATGA